TAGAAATAGGATTGCAACATTAATGCAGCATAGCTGACTTGTTATATGAAATAGGAAATCTGAGAGCCGAAAGATAAGTATGTTAAAAGAAACGAACCAGATTATGAGAATCCAACCTATCGCTAGAATCCACACTCGAAGAATCTCTTTCAAATATGTCCAGTGATGATGAATATTTTTGCTTGTGCTTCCATGAAATAAAGTGATGTGAAGATGCTTCTCGCTTTTCATAAGATTGCAAGGATAATTTTTTCTGTCGCATTTTCGATACTGTTTTTGTGGATTCCATAAGCACTTCTTTTTTCTGTATAATGCGCAAGAGTGACAGTTCTTTCCTCCGTACCATTTCAGAAATTGTTTCGCTATAATCATTCTTATCAATAATAAATCCGTATTTTCTGATACAAATCCGATCCACTAATCATTACTGAAATCATTACTGATCTCAAATATTGCTTGTTTGTTCGATTAATTTGAATTTTCGTACTCTTTTGATTAGTCTGTATTCCATAATATATCCATCAAAACAATAAAATTCTTGATTTCGAACCTTCTTTTAAAATATTCACTAATATCATCTTTCTGAACCAGCGGTTTTGGCCGTGGATGAATTTCAAACCATTTACGCCTCTGATTTGTAGCAGCTGATTTACTAACTGCTAATTCATTTATGAATGTTATCTGTCGTGAATAATGACGAAAACAATATGCACTGTTTCGTAGTATTTCTGATTCTTGACGAGCTCTCTGTAAGAATTTTGCATCACTTTTTTTTGATACAATATTGATAGATGATAAGCTTAATTTACATTTCAGATCTGATAGATCTATATATAGGTCATTCACTCATTTTGCAAACATAAATGAATGAAATTAAAATGAAAAATTAAATTCCTCCATAAATCAAAAAAAAAAAAAACTCATAAATAAAAATTGACTAAATTACTTTCATAAATTGAGAAACTAAGCAAGGTAATGAATGGATTAAATTTAGACTAATTAAAAAACGATTAACTAATTACCACTTCTTTGATTTTTTTCTGGGAAGCATTTGCTCTATTAGAAGAATATTTCAAATTTTCAGATATGATCTTGTCTTCCATTGTTTTTTTTTTTTCTCGCTAAAAATCAAATAGTGTTTCTGTAAATATCACATGAAATCAGAATGAATTAAACATCAATAATGAGAAACGAATAAATAAATGAATTACCAAATATGAATATTACGGATTAAATAGCAATAGCAAATAGTAAGTAAATAATGATGAATGTATGAGGAAAACATTGCAATTCAATCAGCTTTCAAAAAAAAAAAAAAAAAAACTTTTGTATAAATTTTTAATCCTTTAATTAACGACTAATTTATAACATCAACTTATTTCAATGTTTTTTTAAGTTCCATATGCCTAGGTTTAAAAATCGAATAAACGTCAATGCATAATTTCAAACATTTTTTTAGCTATTTTTATAATTTTCAAATCAATTTATTCATATTCCTTTCTTATATATGAATGAATTATTTTTATCACCTTATGCAAATAAAGCATTAAATTTGGAAGTAAAAAATGGAATATAAAAGAGTATTTCTAACTACTTTAACAAAACAAATATATATAAAATATATATTAGTCAATATAAATATATATTAGACTTAATCAATATAAATATATATTAGTAGAGTAAGAAATAATTCCAATAGAATATTGCTAATATTTTATCATTAATAAAAACTGCTATATATGTGCTGCTAATATTAATTTGAAATAGTAAATTAATAATTCATACAATGCTTCAATCTCAAAGAATATCATCAATACTGATCTGAAGTAATTAAACTAATATTTACTAATAAATAAAACTTTAAAACAAACAGAACATTAAACGTATTAGTCGTTAGCTTTATGCTTCCTAATAATGCATTCATTATAAAAAGAAAAAAAAAATTAAACGCAAAAAAAGTTTGTTTACGTTTTGTTTACTTTTTTTTTTTGCTATATTTTAAGATATTATGAAAATAGAAGTGGCAGTAGTACTGCCATAGTGTGTAAATAAAAGTAGTAGAAAGATTAGATAGACATTTTTTAAATGATTCAATGATAGAATGATTAGAGATTGATAGTGTTCATTGTAGCAATTACTTACCTAAGAAAGTGATAAGTTAAATGCATACGTATTGCGTACGTATTTCTTCTATCCGACTTTTCAATCACGTAAAATAAAAATGTAGCAAATACGATTACAACAGGAGGGTATAGTAAGTGTCTACCTGACTTTTCAATCACGTAAAATAAAAATATAGCAAATACGATCACAACAGGAGGGCATAGTAAGTGTCTATCTGACTTTTCAATCACGTAAAATAAAAATATAGCAAATACGATTACACAGGAGGGTATAGTAAGTGTCTACCTGACTTTTCAATCACGTAAAATAAAAATATAGCAAATACGATTACAACAGGAGGGTATAGTAAGTGTCTACCTGACTTTTCAATCACGTAAAATAAAAATATAGCAAATACGATTACACAGGAGGGTATAGTAAGTGTCTATCTGACTTTTCAATCACGTAAAATATAGCAAATACGATTACACAGGAGGGTATAGTAAGTGTCTATCTGACTTTTCAATCACGTAAAATAAAAATATAGCAAATACGATTACACAGGAGGGTATAGTAAGTGTCTATCTGACTTTTCAATCACGTAAAATAAAAATATAGCAAATACGATTACACAGGAGGGTATAGTAAGTGTCTATCTGACTTTTCAATCACGTAAAATAAAAATATAGCAAATACGATCACAACAGGAGGGTATAGTAAGTGTCTATCTGACTTTTCAATCACGTAAAATAAAAATATAGCAAATACGATCACAACAGGAGGGCATAGTAAGTGTCTATCTGACTTTTCAATCACGTAAAATAAAAATATAGCAAATACGATTACAACAGGAGGGTATAGTAAGTGTCTATCTGACTTTTCAATCACGTAAAATAAAAATATAGCAAATACGATTACAACAGGAGGGTATAGTAAGTGTCTATCTGACTTTTCAATCACGTAAAATAAAAATGTAGCAAATACGATTACAACAGGATGGTATAGTAAGTGTTGTGTAGTATTTTAGAGATGTATGAGTGATGAGAAAAGAAAAGGAAAAGAGAGATAGAGGATAGTAGCTAATATTGTCAGTTTTCCCATACGTTACCTTAATTGATTGCATATGGTGACTAGCAAGTTTAGCTTAAAAAATTTTATTAGATTTCAGGTCAGCATTGGACAATTGAACTATTTCTGACTTTTTAATAATCAAATAATACTAATCTATAAAAGCGTTATAAAATCAAAAAAAAAGTGGATAGATCATTTGCTCTTCAATTTTTTTTCTCACTTACGTCACCTTCAAATATAAAACTCCCACGTACGTCATAACCGCCTAAGGCTATACAAATACAAAGAAATGTCAAAATGCCCGCCTGAATCGCTTTGAAAATTAGTATCCCATGCCTAATTATTATTTCTAATTATTTTTTTTTTCATAATTATTCTCTTTGCAGTCTAATAATTTTGCTAGTTGACGTAAATAAACAAAATATCAACATAAAACTTTTTTTGGAACTAATAAATTGTAAATATAATTTGAGTAAATAATTAGAAATAACAAATACTTATTGTTTTATTTGAAATAATACATTTATCATTTCTAATACTTCGACATACCACTGAGATATCTCAGGCGAAGTTTCAGGGAAATTGAGAAATTTCTAGGCTTCAACTACAAAATAAAATTTTGCAATAAAAAAAATTTCAAAAAATGATTTTAACAATTTTTGTCGCTGAAAGCAAAAAATTTGTCATTGAAAAATTTGAATCGCTTTGAATTAATTTTTAATTTTAATTTAATAATTTAATTTATTATTTTGCAAGTGATTGTTGATTACAGGAAAATTTGCTAGATGTAGATGTAAATAAATAAGATAACAGGAGAATGTAATAATAATTCCTTTATTAACAGAAGTAATAATTTTTGATGGAGAATATTTGAAATTGAACTTTCTTGGTTCTTGGTAAAAAAACAAACAAACAAACAAACCAACAAACAAACAAACAAACAAACAAACAAACAAACAAACCAACAAACCAACAAACAAACAAACAAACAAACAAACAAACAAACAAACAGACAAACAAACAAACAAACAAACAGACAAACAAACAAACAGACAGACAAACAAACCAACAAACCAACAAACAAACAAACCAACAAACAAACAAACAAACAAACAAACAAACAAACAAACAAACCAACAAACAAACAAACAAACAAACAAACAAACAAACAAACCAACAAACAAACAAACAAACAAACACAAATGTCCCCTTCCAACATGGGTGACTTTCTCATATGACAATCAGTATGCATAAACTATTTACAATTTACAATTATGAAAGGTTGACCCCGCCGAAACAGTAATCAATCGGTCTTACAAAAGAGCTGTTGACCTGATTTACAAGCAAATCTGTCTACTTAGGTTGACAGTTGACAAATCGTAAAGGACATTTGGTTAAGCAAAAATTTGTTAAACTCATAGAGATTGAAGGATAAACTTACACAATTAGCGATGACACAGAACAATGAGATCAACTAAATGAGGAGAAGCTGTTATTGTGTAAACAATAAACAAGTTTGAACAACAATAAAAATGTTTAAAGTATAAACATTATTTGCAATAAAAAATTTCATAGAATATATTTGTTAAATATTTTTTAAAGTTTTACGATATTAAAATCAACGACAAATCTAACTTGCAGCGTTTTGTATAATTGTGACACATGCATTCTGCGTGATTCCTGCACTTGCATTTTGCATGATTTCTGCACTTGCATTCTGCGTGATTCCTGCACTTGCATTTTGCATGATTCCTGCACTTACATTCTGCATTTGCGTTCACATTTCTTACTGATATTCACAAGTCTTATAAAATATTCTTAATGTTTTACGATATTAAAATCAACGATAAATCTAACTTGCAGCGTTTTGTATAATTCTGTATGATTTCTGCACTTGCATTCTGCATGATTTCTGCACTTGCATTCTGCATGATTTTTTCAGTTGCATTCTGCATGATTTCTGCACTTGCATTCCGCATGATCTTTTCACTTGCATTCCGCATGATCTTTTCACTTGCATTCTGCATGATTTCTGCACTTGCATTCCGCATGATCTTTTCACTTGCATTCTGCATGACTTCTGCACTTGCATTCCATTACTTTTACACAATTATTATCTTTGTCAAACAAACGTATAGGAATTTTTACAAGTAAAAAAATCTTTTTTTTCCTTTTTTTTTACGAAATTATCACAACTGAATTATGCATGCAATTTTGCATGCACATCAGTGAATGACATGCATAATTCATCCTGCATTGACACAAATAGTAATTAGCAAAAAAAAAAAAAAAAAAAAATTAAAAATAACGAATTTACTTTAATTTCTAATTTTTTCAAATTTCGAATTTACTTTATAAAATGAAACTTTTTTTTTTTAATTTTTGTAGCACTTTTTTGACATTAATTTTAAAAAATGCAAAAAAAAAAATTTATAATCATAATTTATTGTTTTTATTCTTGTTGAATATAAGTTAAAAAAAAATAAAAAACATTTAAAAAATTATATTTCCAATTTAAAAAGTTTATTTAATTTAATATTTAATATGTATGCTAGAAAGATTATTAAAACTAATTTGTGACAAATAAAGTGGCTAAAAGTGATAAGTAAAATTTTACAGTTAAATTTTATAAATTTCGATTTTGTGTTAATTTATTTTTATATGAATGACATGAAATTGTTAAGTTCAATTTTTCAAAGTATTTTATGATAACAATTCTGTATTGAAAGAAATTATTTTTTTTTTTTTACATTTATGACTTTAATTTTTTTTTTTAATTAAATTAATGAAATGTTTTTTATTTAAAATATGCATAATTTCAGGTTATTGAATTTCACTTAGCATTTTGTTGACCTTACAAAATTGATGCAAAACAAGAATGGATGTGACATTTTCAAAAGTTAATTCTGTTTAAAATCTTTTTTTGCCAATTTTTAGTTCTGTGTTTTAAAATTTATTTAAAATCTTTTTTTTGCAACTTTTTACTTCTGTGTTTTAAAATTTATTTAAAATCTTTTTTATCACTTATCTATTTTATTTGCCATAAAATTATAATTACATATGCATTTTGGAGGAAAATATTGAATGATTTTATGCCAGTTAGACTAATTAATTAGTCTAACTAATTACTAATTTGCTAATTAAGTCTAATTAATTAGACTAATTAATTAAAAAAGTATTTTTTAGTAATTAATTGTTAATTAATTAAAAAAAGTAATTAATTACTAGTAATTAGTTATGTCAATTTTGCACTTTTCGATGATAATTCAACTTTCAAAATTACGTCACAAAATTACGTTACGGAAATTACACGTGTAATTTTTGATTGTATGGAAGACAAAAATGCATTTATCTTCATCGATTTGCTTTCCATTTCAACGATTACTGTAACTTGACAACATAAGCCATGGGTACGGGTAAATGGGTAGGGGCAAATGGGTAGGGCAATGGGCGGAAGTTTGTTGATGTGTTGAAGCAGTGTGCCAGGTGGTTGTTTTGTTTATCATTGCTGAATTAATTTTTTAATTCCTCGTTTAAATTAATCATTGTTACGATACATTTACTTTCCCATTTTAGTTAACCTGTTTTTTTTTAAGTTTATTAAATTTTTCAAAGAATCAAAAAAAAAAATTTTTCACGTAAAATACCTGTATTACGTGATACGTAATTTAATTATAAGGTTAAGGAATAAAAAGAGTAAAACTTAGTTTTATATCCATGTAGAGTAGCAATTTATATTATATTTAAATATAATCATTTTATAATTATTTTTTTTTCAATTTGAGACAATTTGTGAAAATGTCATTGAACTTTGTCACCTGAAAAAATGTCATTGAACTTTGTCACCTGAAAAAATGACATTGAACTTTGTCACCTGAAAAAATGACATTGAATTTTGTCACCTGAAAAAATGACTTTGAATTTTGTCACCTTTTTTTAAAGCTAATTTTCTGGTTAAATAATTTACATCCTATATAGAACCGTTTTAAATAGATAGATAGATAGATAGAGAGAGAGAGAGAGAGATAAAGAGAAGGAGAGAGAGAGAAGATCAAAAATGGAGTAAATAATAAATTTTCTAAGAATTGAACTTTGTCACCTGAAAAAATAACTTTGAATTTTGTCACCTTTTTTTAAAGCTAATTTTCTGGTTAAATAATTTGCATCCTATATAGAACCGTTTTAAATAGATAGATAGATAGATAGAGAGAGAGAGAGAGAGAGAGAGGGAGAGAGAGAGAAGATCAAAAATGGAGTAAATAATAAATTTTCTAAGAATTGAACTTTGTCACCTGAAAAAATGACTTTGAATTTTGTCACTTTTTTTAGAGCTAATTTTCTGGTTAAATAATTTACATCCTATATAGAACCATTTTAAATAGATAGATAGATAGATAGATAGAGAGAGAGAGAGAGAGAGAGAGAGAGAGAGAGAGAGAGAGAGATCAAAAATAGAGTAAATAATAAATAAATTTTCTAAGAGCAAAAAAAAAAAAATTTATTAGCTAACGATTGATCATATTCTGATCTAATCAATAAGTAATTGTGAACAATATTTTTTTCAAATGTTTACAATGATATTTTCAATTTCCCTAAAAAAAAAATTCTATTTCAAATTGCTTATAACCTTTGAACTTCGAATTGCAGTAAATTTTATCGTTCATTTAAAATTTTTTTTTTAGGTATAAGAGTTGACAATTGATTAATTTGCTATGTGACATTAGTTGACAATGATATTAAAAAAAAAAAAATTAAAAAGTACAATATCAAAATTAGAGTTTTTTTTTTTTTAATTTAAATTTAACCAACTTGGTAACATTGTAATAGAAAACGATTGAATTTTCAAAATTTCACTATGATAGCACTGAATTTATTTCCTGAAGCATTGATTTGAAAAAAGTTAAAATTTAAAAACCTATTTAAAATTGCTTATAACCTTTGAACTTCGAATTGCAGTAAATTTTATCGTTCATTTCAAATTTGTTTAGATATTAAAGTTTTTTGACAACTGATTAATTTGCTATATGTGAAGCATTGATTTGAAAAAAGTTAAAATTTAAAAACCTATTTAAAATTGCTTATAACCTTTGAACTTCGAAATTAAAAAAATATTAAAAATACAATATCAAAATTAGAGTTTTTTGTTTTTTAATTTAAATTTAACCAACTTGGTGACAACAAAAGATGAATGAATTTTCAAATTTTAATATTTAACTATGACAGTTCTGAATTTCTCTCCTTGAAGCATTGATTTGAAAAAAAAAAGTTGAAATTTTAGGATTTTTTTTTTTTGAAAGCAATTTGATTTGATCGATTATATCATTGAATTTAATTTGAAGGAAGATATAAGTTTATAATTAATTGATCTTTTTATAATTTTAAGTTTTCTTAATTTAATTTAAATTTAATTAGAAAAAAGATATAAATTTGAATTTGAAGAAAGATATAAGTTTATAATTAATTGATCTTTTTATAATTTTAAGTTTTTCTTAATTTAATTTAAATTTAATTAGAAAAAAAGATATAAATTTTTAATTTGAAGAAAGATATAAGTTTATAATTAATTAATCTTTTTATAATTTAAAGTTTTTCCTAATTTACTTTAAATTTATCAAAGTAATTGTAATTTATTTATTGAATAGCATATTGTTTTTCATTAATTATATTTTTTTAAATATATTTTTTTTTATATTTTTTAAAAATAAATTTAAATATATATTGCTTTTTATTAATTATATTTAAATATTCTAGTATTAATTTAATTTTTATTGTATTTTTTTTATTAAAATATATTGTTAAACTGTTAATTTTATTTAGCTATTATTTAATTATCAATTAAATTGTTATTGATTAATCTTACTTAAAATATTGATCCAATCGAGAAGATTGTTTATAATTGTTTCTAAAATACTACAAATTATTATTAATGTCTAAATTTTAGCGCTACTAGAATTTTGCATTTAAAAATAATCAAAATTGTTTTTTTAAAAAATGTCAATTTGCGCTTTTAGGAAATGTTAATTAGCGCCCGATCTCTATTTAATGACTTTGTTTTTTTTACTCTCATTTTCTTTCCTTTTTTTTGTTTAAAAATTACAGGTGGTTGAATTTTTGTTCGAGAAGAGAATGCCAAAAGTAAATTTAAACAAAAGTTAATTTATTGTTGAGATCAAAATTTTTTCCAAATTAGACATTAAAAAATATATATTATCTGAGTTTTTGGTTTTGAATTCTCGATAAACTAATTCTCGACAAACTATTGTTTAGACTGTATTTCAAATTTTATTTGTATTTCAAATTTTTTTATAAATGATTAACTTTTGATCACTTTTAAATTCAAATTTTTATATTTCAAATTTTATTTGTATTTCAGATTTTTTAATAAATGATTAACTTTTGATTACTTTTAAATTACTTTCTTAAAACATTTAACTGTTCCTTCGTCTTCTTCATTTCATTTATTTTATATATTACTTAATTCTTTGTTTTGTCTACTCAAATAAATAATTTTAAATATTTTCGTTTTTTCTTTTTAAAAAATAATATTTTATAATATTTCATTTTTCGTTTTTCTTTTTTTTTTTTAAAAAAATCTTTTTTGCATTTTTTATAACTTATTTTAACTTTTTGAATTGTTTTTTTTTTATTTTCCATTGTTAATTCATTTTTCTTTCTCATTTGCATCGTTTTTTTTTTTTTATATTTTTATTTTTTAAATGCTTTTTTGTTTACTTTACATTTTGTATACTTTTTTGGTTTATTTAAATTATTTAAATATTTTTTTTTTTTTTTTAGCAATCTTTTGATTACTTTTCTTGTCTTACATACTGTTTATCTCACTTTAATGTTTATATATTTTTTTTTTATTATTAACTTTCTTATGTCACTTTTTGTCATTTAAGCTTGTCATTGCTTTCCTGTGTTTTTAATTTATTTTTTTTTGTTGTTTCTATTTTTGTTTTTTTCACTTTTAAATAAATAAATAAAAACAAATAAATAAATAAATAAGCAGACAATTAGTTGAAAAAATGAATAACATAAATAAATAAATAAATAAATAATTATTTATATTATT